CCCCAGGAGCCTGCGCGGCCCCGCGGCCTGGGGCCGCCCCCGGGATAAAGGCGTGCCCGCGTAGGGGCAGGACCCCGGCCCAGGGCCTCTCAAAGGGCTTCGTTCTTGCTTTCTCCCCGGCATGCTCTGCTTGTTTGACCAAAGAGCCCTCTCTCGAGTGGACTGAAGCCTGGGGAGGAGGCTAAGGGCTGCTGCTTGTCTGCCACCCTCTGCTCCTGGCCCCCTCCTCACTTCATCCATTACCAGATTACCCCCCACCAAGGCTTTCTGTCTCACTGTCCTGTCTGGGCCGGTCCCTCACAACATCTCACGACTGTGCCTCAAAGCCTACATCAATAAACGAAAACAGTCTGCACCACTGCGGGCGTGGCGCTCCGGGGACGCGAGAGGGTGTAGGAGTGCTTGCATAGGGCCACCTCCGGGGCAAGTCAGGCTTCCCTGGACCCCCGGGCCAAGCCTCGCCTCCCACCTACACCCACTTCGGTCAAGGCACGGTGCTCTTGGCTGTGCTCGGACTTGTGTCTCTCCCTGGGGTTTACTGGATAGCGTCTGGCGTGGGAATCTGCCAAGATGGGCTGTACCTTCATCCTCAGCATACCTCTTGGGGGTTGGGGGAGTGAGGAGGATGGGAAGACATAACGGCATCTGATGTGGAGGGCTGTAGGTTGAACTCTCCCCGCGCGAGACCCCCATCACCATTCCAAACGGGACCCTGCCCCTCCCCCTTCTTGGAGCGTGACCACCTCCTCCTTGCCCCGAGGCCTGTGGCGACTGGGCCCGTTGGGGGCAGAACCATGGAGGAAAAGCCTTTGAAAGTAAAAACCCTTCCTGGGCCTCCTCACCCTGTCAGCCCCCAGACTCATCCTAGGTCTCAGCCTTGGTTCAAGGAAGCTCCCAGCAATCACTCCCTTTTCATCCCCACCCACCTCGAAGGAGTCTCCGCCCTGGCTGGGCTCAGGATCCCCGCCCCCTCCCCAATTCCTCTCGACCCTTGGCTTCCTTCCTTTTATGTGGCCCACAGGCCAAGTGTTTGGGCCGCCATGTCTCAGGCAAGTCGAGTGAACCAGACATACGGAATCTGTGGACCACAGCTACGCTGTCGCAGCCGAAGCTGAACGTGCCGCTGCCCAGTGTCCCCGAGGACTCAGAACTGGAGGGCAGCAGCATAAGCGGCAAGACTCACGGGTGGTACAAACAGAAGGCGGCCAGCCACTACTCTGACAGTAGCTGGAAAGAAATGGATGACAAAGACAGCTTCAAGCCAGAGCAGGATGTGCACCGCAGGAGCTCCCTGGGAAACCATATAGAGGAAGGGGACGACGATATCAGTACCAAAGCGGGTTAGTGTGGCCTCACCGGGCTGTGGGCGCCCACAGAGCAGGGAGCTGGCCAGAGCCTCAATTTCTATTGCTGTGAAAGGGGGGTGGTGGTGGCGATTGTAGGACCCAAGTTTCCAGGATTCCCTGGAAGGGGCGCCAGCGCTAATCCATGACGCTTTAAATCAACGAGATATTTTAGGAACGCCCCCTACCGGGCAACTGTAAAACAAGGTCCTGGGGCCATAGAGAAAATGCGCAAAGGCAGTGTGGTACGACCTATGCATTTAATGGAATTACCAGGATAGCTGAGAGCAAGGAGTTAGTTCCTTTTCTGTGGATTTGCGCTGCTTGACGAGGTGTCTGTCTTTCATTCATTAAGTCATCAGTTACAATTTTTAAGTTTTTACTTCCTACTTCATGCTATGCGCTGTTTGGGACATGCCTTCCCCTTCTACCTACCACCTGGGCTCTCCAGCCCTTCATCAGGCAATTGGAATTCATAACAATATAACAACTGCCATCTATTGAGGGCTTGCTGTTGTGCCAGGCACTGGGCTTCCCTTGCATGATCACTTTTAAACTTTACAACTCCCATAAGGGGAGGGGTGCCATTCTTATTATCCCATTGTACAGATAAAGAACTTGAGGGTCAGAAAGTCAGTCAGTGGCCCTAAGTCTCACACAGTGGGACAGTTAGAACTGGAACCTTGGAGGGTGGGACAACAAAGCCTAGGCTTGTAAACCGCTCCCATACTGTTTCCCACTAAAGTGGCACCTAGAGCTGGTCTCTGAAGGTTCCCCCCACATGCCCACCCATACATCTCCTCTGCTCAAGGGAAGTCCCAGCAGTTTGCAAGTCTGCAGATGACTGATTCCTTTTTTTCTCTTCTCCCAGAAAAGCCTTCCTCAGGGTCATCGCTCAGTATCTCGAAGCACACACCCCATCGAGCCTACTGGGTGGAACAGCAGAATAGGGTTGGAGGCAGCCATGGAGACTGGGGAGTTTAGTGGGGTGGGGGAAAGGCAGATTGGGGGTTTCAGGGGTGAGAGGGTGGGGGTGCTTTGAAGGGTGGAGGGGCAGGCAGGTTGGTTGGGGGTCTTGGGGCTGGAGGGAGCAGGTGGGGACATCTCAGCTGTGGGCAGAGCTGGGCCCTTGGACATCTGAGCCTTTTGCTTGCTGTCTCTCCAGCTGCCCCTGCCCTTGACTGAACTCATGGAGAATGAAGCTCTGGAAATCCTCACCAAAGCCCTCTGGAGTGAGCCCCTCTCCCAGCTCCCACAAGGGGCCTTGGGGGATTATGCAGGGCTTGGGCCTGTCGGAGCGGGATTTCAGGATGTGTCTGTCTTAGATTCCCTTACCACCTCCCAGTATTACAGAAGCCCCACAAAAAGTAAGAAGTTGGGAGACTGGGCACAGGGAGACCCAGTGAGAAGAGCATAGGGTGACAGGAGCCTGGGCTCTAGCGTTAGTGCAGCCCTTCTCTACCTGATGTGGCTTTTTTTGGGGGGGGGAGTAATTAGGCATTTATTTATTTTGATGGAAGTACTGGGGATCGAATCCAGGACCTCGTGCATGCTAGGTGAGCACTCTACCACTCGGCTATTACCCTTCCCGCAATATGGCTTTTGTAAGGCACATTTTTTCCAGTTGTCTATTGGGGATGGCAGCTTTTGTGTGGCCTTGGCCCCTCCCTGGGTGCTATGAGGAGCCTTGGGACAGTGGACACTTTATGAATGTGGGGTAGGGTGGGGAGGGCTAATGGCTTAGGGTGGGTGGTCCAAGAGGTGTCCAAAAAGCTGCCTGCTACCAATACCCTAGTTCAGGCCTGCAACATCTCTAAACTTGCCTTCCTCACCCACCCAACACCTCCATCCTGCTCCGAATCCCTCATCTCTTTGAGGCACAAGTCTATGACTTGATAATTTGAAACAAACAAAACCGGTAGGTCCCAGGACCCTGGAGATCCAAAGTTTTTCAAACTAACATAAGCCGGCTGCTGGGAAGGCCATGCCCCTGCACACTGCCCTGAGTGGATTTCTTCCCCCCAGGCTACCGATCGGGGATTGGCCGGGACCACTTTCTGACCAAGCAGCTGCAGCGATACATCGAGCGGCTCCAGAGGCGCCAGAACAAGAGGCTGCATGTCTCGGTGCACTGAGAGCACCGCCTCGGGCTCAAGTGACCGGCAGACTCCAGCCCTAGTCCCTGTCCCCTCCCCAGACCGCAGCCCAACCCTATCCATGTGGAGTTTGAGCCCAAGAGAAATAAAGGAGTCTGTACGTGGTCCGTGAGTCAATGCGTGGCTGCCCGCGTGAGGCGGACGCACGTGGCCCCACCCTTCCCTGTGACCTTCACTCGGTCACCGCAGTGACCTTGAGCGTTCTCCGTCCAGGCCCTATCGGCTCCGCCTTCCCGGGACTGGAAATCCAGGACTCCTTGAATGTTTTAGGTCTGCTTCTTCCACCCCGAGTTCAGCAGCTTTGTGGGGATATTGGGTATGCGGTCCAAAGTGCCAGTTGGTATTATCCTGGGGAAAGGGGGAAAAGAGAAAGGAGCAGCACCTCCCTTCCAGCTTGGGCGTGCTAGACTCCGCCCCTCATGCATATGCAGACACACCAGCCTTCGCTCTTGCCCCGTCCTCTCATTTACATATGTATACTGTCTTCCTGCCCGGTAGCAGTGGCCACTGAGCGACCTTTCCCGTTCCTCTCGCGCACAGCGCGTCCCGCCTTCTTTATGTAAGAGTGCTGCTGGACTCCCCCATCCCACAGCTTCACCGCGTCTATCCTGGCCACACCCCTTCAGCGGCCGCGTACGCCTGTGCGCCTCTGTGGCTCGGCGGCGGCGGGGCGGGGACCTTCATGAAGGCCCGCCCACTGGCTTCACCGGCTCCGCCCCGACACGTCCGGGCACGCAGGCGCTACCCGCCCCACTTGCCTGATTAGCATAGGGCGCTGTGCCCGCCTCCTGCTTTGCATGCGGACGGCCAGCCCCGCCCCCGCTGTCAGCTGGAGGAAGCGGAGTAGGAAGCGGCCGCGATGTCCTTTTGTCCTACAAGCCGCCGGCGGCGCCGCCGAGTGAGGGGACGCGTCGCGGCGGGGCGGCGCGGCCCGAGGAGGCGGCGGAGGAGGGGCCGCCCGCGGCCCCCAGCTCACCCCGGCTCTCCTGGCCGCTCGGCCCCCATGCCTGCCCGCCCGCCCTGCCGGAGCCCCAGGTCCGGGGGCG